AGATTGAGCATCTATTGAGAGCCCGTAAGCGAGCAAGATTTGCCAAAAGGCTTGTCTGTCGATAGTATCAAAGGCGGTCTTAAAGTCAACGAAATAGGCGGTGGTTATCTGTTGATTATAGTGTCGGTGTTCGAGTAGGCGGCGCAGAATGAAGATCTGCTCAACATATCCCCTACGCGGGCGAAGCTCTCCCTGATTAGGACGAGTGCATAAATTAGGTTCAATCGCAAATCTATTGAGAAGGATGGTCGCAATCACTTTGGCGGCTATATCAATGAAATGGATGCCGCGATACTTGCAACATATGGACATGTCACCCCGCTTCGGTACCGGCAAGATGCTGGGCAAGGACCAGTCAGTAGGGGTGACTTTGTAGACCATATAGTCAAGTACAGTTGATTCTGTCAAAACAAAACAGTCAGTTTTGTAGACCCGCCGGGATAATATCTTCCGACTTTTCAATCGTTGCAATGGCGTTTCCGATTCTGATCTCGTAGGTGGCTCGCAGTCAATATCGTATGGAATTCCAGTGGGCAGTTGTAGGTTCGCTGATGACCGTGTAGACGGATCCAGTAGCTCTTTGAAATGCTCTTGCCATCGATCGATTTTGCCAGCCATATAAGTTATTCTTTGACCCGAGTTATCCTGAACGGTAGTAAAAAACCGTCTTCTACCATTAAATGTCGTGATTCCCTTTCCAGGCAAGGACATGCGTCTGCCTCGTGGCGAGACAATAATAGGTGGCTCCCATTGCTGTTCTCCCATCTTCTATGCTAAACTTTCGAAGAATGTGAAGGTTCAGACAGCTCTTGTGGTCGTATGCATCTTGTTTATTAATAGCTCGTATAAGAGAACCAGACCCACATTCCGGAAGGCACAACATTTCCATCTCAAATGTTATGTTTACTTTGTTGTGCCTAGCGTACTTAGATCACGTTTCTGTTACTTTCCTTTTCAGCAAGTGAACAAGATGGCCGTGCGTCTAGTTAACATTGAGGAACATTCCTACAAATCAAATCCTTCCTTCGCCGTCGGTGTCCTCCTTCTTAGCTGTCCTCCACCCTCAGAATTGTATGAGCGTTGTGTGGCATCAACGCCTGAATCGAAAATTCGCCCCCTAACAAAATGCATAAGTATGCTCACCGCGTCTAGGGATGGCCTACGCGCCATCGGTGGCGATTGGATTCCAGACCTTGATGGCGCTGATCCGGCATCAAATCCTCAGACGCTTATCAATACTGCTATAAGGACCTGCAAAGATACGATTGGCCTGGATCTGTCTGGATGCACCCGATGGTAAATTGGAGATTTTTTATTCAACATGAATGAGGAACACCTCCACCTCCCTCTTTATAAGACAGAATTCGTACCGTATTCCCACATTGATTCCGCCCCGTACAAAACCATTTCTTTTAACCCGTCTGTTGGTAGGTCCGATTCTAGTATATTTGTTATGTAAAACGCTATCTCGTTAATGGCCATCTCCGGCGATTTGGATGTCTTGCCATTGGGGCAATGACTGTGGAGTAGACAGAACGCTATTGCGGTTCACTATGAATAATGACGTGTGAGTCACCCCCACCCTCTGGGGCAGGTGGACTTAGTCGCCTGCGGCTATTAAAGTATCGTAAGGTTTTATCCAGTGGTGACCCTGGCGTAGTTTCATTTTTTGTACTCATTTTTTCAAGTCCGGCTGAGGAGAATTTGAGTGCTCGGGAGTTCGTAAACAGCTTTAGTCTGCCGTTTGCGGCATATGACAGGGTCGCATGGCTTAGGTACCAATTGCATTTTACCACCTACCTAGACCTACCGTCTTGCTGCATCTCATTGCGTGTCAACTTTAAAATACAAAGACGCTCATTCTGCTCCTGCCGTCTATCCCTTGTCCCTTTCCAGGTATCGTTTCCTCGAGTTTCGATATAGCCGCTCTGAAGGTCAAGCTTGGCCATCCGTCAATGAACTTTTCGGAAAGGGAGGACAGTGGGGCGCTTTCGAAGATTCACAGCGGCATAAATCTCGTGATTCAACAACTGCAGCCGACAGGAAATCTGCTCATTCTGCCAAAGGACAGCTCCCAGAAGACCGGATTAAATCTGACACGGAATCGATTGGCGCGTCTTCGTCTTCAACCGCGAAAAGGATTGAAAATAGTGCTGCTGATTCATCCTCCACACACCCTCCTGAGGAAGCCGACTTCACTTCATCTCATCGTGTCGTTGTATACTTTGTGCCTGACATTTGGTCCATCATGCCGGACACGGAGCAGTGGGAGAAAATCAAATCCAAATATCAGGATCCAAAGTCGTATGTCTCTTGTGGCCAAAAATCCGACACTGCCAAGTCTGATGTCGCTGCGCCAACGAGCACATCGATGGAAGCTAATGGCGTCACTACACACTCTCCAACTTCTGATGCCTCAGAGATGTCCGACGGCCCAACAACTGCACAAGTTAAGCAGGAAGCAACGGAAACCGAGGAAATTCGTGCAAGCGCATCAGGAGGCCTCGCGGAAACGGATTCTGGATCATCTGGGACTCAAACAGAACCGCCCGCAGTACAAGAGGTGCAACCCTGTGTTTAGTTGTTCTTTGTACAAGGATTCTTGACTAAGTTCCCCGTGGAAACACATCCGAAGTTCAGCCTTCCTCTTTCACACACCGACCCCATCGATAAGGTTGGAGACTCTCTCCTTTGTGTCCAAACTAAGGATTTCAGTGCCATCCCAAAGGCTTGTTATAAGTCGCCTAGCCATATGACCTTCCATTTGTTTTAGAAAAGTGGCGTTTGCTTGAATTTACTTGTCGCCACTCAACTTTGTCTAACACCTCTGTCTATTTCAGGGTTCGGTCGCCAATGGCAATCCTCGGTTGATGCACCACAGCAAGATTGATATTAACGTGCTTAAGGTTAGTTATTTTTATACACAATGCACACCAGTTATTACCCACCTTGATTTCTGTTATGTCCCCCAGTTAAATGTTGGGAAGAGAAGACAGACAGGATAACAGCGAACAGTTTACTGTATCAGTTTCTGTGTGGACATCAAACTCTGCGCGTGTCTCAACTTGTCGCGCACCCGAGGGCAGCAGTCGTCTCGTCTGCGTCAAGGCGTCTTCTTATACAGCATGTCCTCTATGTCAGTAGCACGTTCTCTTCTCGGGCAGCAGATTCCGTCTTCTATCCACAGCTTCGTATTTAAGGACAAACCGTCTTTGTTCCCTATGTCTCTTCTTGTTGGTCCATGCGCGAGTGACTTATCCGGTCAGCCATCGTGTGATGTACTTACTTACTTGTACTTGTTACGGCTGTGATTATGCCTGATCTAGCCGGCCTCAATGATGTCACGACCGGTACCCCTCCATGCGTGGCGATTGGCGGCAGCAGATCTCGAAAGCTCCACCCAGTCCC